AGAGCACAATGAGCAAAAACAATTTTCATCAAGCAGAGTGCATCTCAGTTTCTTGCCTCACTCTTGTTGCATTAAAAAATTATCCTTCCCTGGCAAAAGCGATCAAGCCTGTTGTGACAAACAATAGATTCCCCCGTAAGCACCACTAGTTTAATGAATCTTTTTTTTCTCCCATTCTCTCAAGGCTGGGGCGCAACGATAATCTCTGCGAGCTAATAATCTCCATGGCACCAATTCAGTCAGGTGCTTTAGGGAGTCTCGACACAAAAACAAAAACAAGAAAATGAGATTTGACCATCAGCTACCTGGGGTGACATTGCAACAACGTGGACCTTAGGGGTGTGCTCAGTTAATACAGATGCTCCATTGCTTAAGGTCCGCAGGTGAATTGTGGGACTGTGCAATATTTCCCCCCGATTTTGGCAGACGCAAGCTTCACGTGACCGTTTTACAGGATGAGTGGATTAACGTCCCCCGGCATGCCGATCAGATCCTTACTGCGCTCCCATGAAATATTCACAACATGCTCCAGTCTGCCTTGGTGGCCCCTTTTGCCCTTTAGTAATAATTAATCCCACCTGTCCATTGCCCCCCTCCCTGTTAAACAGGGACAAGGTGGGAGGTGGGAGCCAAGTGTTTGTCCCCAGGAGATTTAGCACATGCAGTTTTCATGAACCTTCACAGCTCAGACAGTTTCACAGCCACAGCAATATGATGGAAGTGAGATCTGTGCTGGAAATGCCCCCCAAGCATAGTGCAAAACATATAATTACACATAAACAAGCAGGTTTAAGACCATTTGCTCTCATACCAGCTCAACAGTACTCTCAAATTTAGCTACTGACATTACCCATTTGTACTGTTGGGCATGTATACACTTCTTAATGATGTTTATCATGTCTGGGTGGAACTGCCATTATTTGACCTAGCATTCAGTTTCACCACGTTCAAAATAAAATGGAAGGCTTGTTTAATCCTGACCTCATTACAGCTCTTTGAAGGGCCGCCACTCTGTGGTGCTCTTATTATCTGGCTCCTTTAGCTTAGCGGGAGAGCATTCATTTCCGGATGGCTCGAGATTCCAAGCCTCAGCATTTCCCATTCCATTACGGCCATGGCTGCTAGTGTCATTTCTGGAGCATGCCTATACTGTTGGCTAAATGATCCTGTTACCAAACCCACCGGGGAATATAAATATCACCTTTGAAATCGCAAAGAGAAACCATAATCTACGACAGCACCAATTAGCATACCATATTTGGAGACGAGAGTCCCTCCATTGACCAAAGAACAAGAGGTGCTCCAGTAATAAACATGCAGTCAAGATTCTCTGGATACAAGTGTTAGCTAATGAATGAATTATACCCATAATGCTTTATGTTGAAATGGTTACGCACTCATTTAAGAGGGACAATGAATGGGTTGTTGGAGAATTAGCTAAAGGCTCAATCAGTCCTTGAGAAGTAGTGACCAAAAAACTTAAGACCACCAAAGCAGGATGCCACTGGTCCTGAGTGGTTTGATGGTAAGTAAGCGGGGCCCTCTTAGCTCAAGAAGCAGCCTGCCCACGCATACGGGATGGGGTGGGCAACCTGCCACAGCGACAGCCGTACAATCCAGCTACAAAGCTTTCTGGACAGGGAGAACGTTTAACTGTAACCACAGAGAAATGCTAAAGGACCAAAAATTACACTGATACAGTCGGTCCACCCCAATCCTAATAGCTCAGAAACAAAGTTTATTTTTACTTAATAATAAGAAGAAGATGAAGAAGTAGTACTGGGAGAATTCAAATTAGCTATGTGTCTGTTTTGTGCACAAAGCCAGAGCCAGAATAGCCGCTGGTAGCAATATCTGCCTGGACACTAATCTGAGGGGTTGACATGTGAAATAACTTCTATCTTTGCAGACTCCTCTTGCAAGACGGTGTCCTGATGAGCATTAGGCAACACAGAGAGCAGTTTAATAACCTGGCCTTCCTCAGTCATTCCTCCCAGGTCTCGCGGAACCTGAAACACCAGGGTTCCCACAGCAAGAGATAAACCGAACCCATTAGCCGAAGGCACGCACGCCCGCCCACCTCCGTTTAGATAATCTGATCTTACACTGTGCATTACGGTGTTTCCGGGCTCCATTAAAATGAAATCCAGCAGGCTCCAGATATGGGCAGTGCCAGCACGGAGGGCTCTCCTCACTCCTGCTCCCCCCCAGGTCTGAATAACCCTTTCAATTCATGGGCTATTTCAGAGCTGACATGGCTGGCACCCCCCTCCAGGAGAGTGTCCACATCATATGCTAACACACCACCTGAGTTGTGAAAATATATAAAGTATATAAAGTGTAAAAAAATGCAAACTTTGGACATCCGTAAGACAATAATATATAATGAAATGCAAGTAGAATTGAATCTTCTGGGAAGTAGGGGTGGGGCTTGTAAGATTTCAGGCAGAATTCCAGCTGCCATGAATCGCAACTCATCTGGGGCATTCCTCTACCAAAGGCATCTCTGATAATTACTGTGACCATTATTGTTAAATGTGAACATTTAGGCACTGGAAAGCATGCAAGAACCAGCAACATTCAAGAGCAGCGTGAAGCTACAGAGCCAGGAGGCATGACCCTGGGCAGCATGGTGATAAAGAACAGGATGCCACCCAGTCACAACCGTGGAGCAGGACGCAAACGACATGACAAAAGACATGACTCACACGGAAAAGACAAGACCAAAAGAAGCATCGTGTGCCACACAAGGACACTTCACAGAAGCCCACAATCTTGAATTCCCAGATAAAGAATCATTGATTTTTAAACCAAGTGATGGTGGAGATATCCATTAAATATCTGCAGGTTAGGATGGGAGTATGGAACCAAAAGGATTCTGTAGGACAAGGGCTGAAACAGTGAGCTAGTACGGTGGGGTGGTGTGTGGAGTGCGAGTCCCGCCCCCCCTCTCCCTTGCCGTCCCCTCCCCCCATCTTCTCTCCTGTTCTGAAGTTGACCTTGGAGTGGCAGTTGCATTCTGCCCGTTGCTCGCCACCCCCCACCCCCACAATTCCAACCCATCGCCAGGGACGTCCCAAACCCGCTCTTAAACATGGTCACAAAGCCACCAAAGATGTCGGCTTTGCCATCAGCCACACCGCAAATGCCACAGGTCAGTTGCTCCAGCCGCGGTGCCCAGGCACATCTGACCCTCCTGCATCATCAGCTTTTGTGTTGGCCATGTCAAAGGAAACGTCAACTCAGCATGATACATCGGAAACAGACCAAACTGCAGTGCCACTGTCTAATAAATAAATGAATACAACTATGATCGCTCATATATAATGTATGAAGCGTTTCGTTATACACAAATTACTGTAAAGACCAATAAAATATGGGCTGTTTCAAATTTCTTCATATACTTCATTTCATACAATGGATGCAATGAATTTTCTATCTGGATATGCGATATTAAACCCTCAATAGGGGTGGAAAAAAATCAATCTTTGAAATTCAGGAAGTGTATATACAGGTATATGAAATGTTCTGCAGAAAGGAATAAAAAGGTCATGCAGGTCATCAGTACAAGGTTTCACATGCCCATAATACAAATCGCTGTGTTGTATTGATACAAGAAACGATAGCGGTAAACACAAGATACTCTTGGATGAAATCACAAAGAGGATGCTTATTTATTTTTACATCAAGTACAGTGGCAAAAACAAACACCATCGAAGCTCAAACACACTTTTTCCTTCCCCCATCAGCAGCACATCCAAGCACAGGAGCTACCGGACACTCAAAAGCAGCCTTGCATCAGCCTGACTGTCCTTCTACTCATTAATGGATATTGAAAATGGGAGGCAATGCAAAGCACCTCCATGAGACTTGGGGGGGGGGGGATTTCATATAATTAATAAATTTATTTTTCTTTAGCGATACACATCTGGTTCTTTGTTACCTTGTTACCTTTACTCCACAGAGGGAACTGAAAGAAGCCAGATTGGAGGGATGCTTTATGTCCCCGTACCTATACAACATAACGACAATGTTCTGAGAATCACTCTACGATTATAGGAAGCAGTATCCGCAGGCATGAAGACACCCAGAAGGCGCTTCTGCCAGGTGCCTCAGGCCACCCCCCCTATTCCTGGGTGCTCCGTCCGCTCCTCCACAAAGGGGTTATGCAATCACTGCTTTACTCATTATGTAAGAGCAGAGCCGAAGAACAGAATTGCCACAGCCTGGAGACCAAGCTTCCAGAAGGATAAAGCAATCTGAGTTTTGGGAAAACAATCGCCTCCCCTCCCCCCTCTGCTGAATTCCCGACACTGCTGCCCCACGCGGCTAATGATGAACGATGCCTGATGCGACTCGAGGTTAAACAACGGTACCAGATCTCGTTTCCCGGTTTCCCCTGGCGAGCCAAGCAAGGAGAAGACGCCCGTCACCTTGGTTAACTTGCAGCTCGCGGGCAGGCTTCCCGCTGCTTCCCTCTGATGCCTCCGTCCTGTTTCCCGGATCCCCCGGAATTCTGTGAGTCCCAGCGTGTTAGCATGGCATGCTGTGGAGCTTACCACCATGCAGAGGTAAAGAGTTCTTCTCCAGGTACAAACAGATAATCCACGTAGCATCCCCCCACCATTTACACAAGTTGATCCAGCACTCAAATATTTACAAAGTGGAAAATGGACAGGTAAGGAAAGCACAGGGAGCCTGGATTAATCGGATAGGTTGTGCTATCTCTGTGGAAGTCGGCAGCTGTATGGAGCAGCACATTGGCCACATGTCTGGCTCTTCAGTAAACTGTGTGGAATTCTCCATCTTTTCATCACCCACATCTCACCTAACTGTCATCTCCAGCCATCGGGCACACACCTCAGGAAGCGAGGACTTGGGTGGGATAGGACGCACCTGGGAGGCAGGCGAGGGCGGCAGCGTGGGCATGTGCCGAGGCTTCGCCCACGGTCAGGCATCCCCCCACCCTCCTCCCCTGGGGAGGGACAGCAGATGCTTACCTGGGACCTGATGCCGTGCTTCCAGGACTCCAGAGGCGAGCTGGTCTACCGATCGGAAGACCCGCGCAGGAAAGGAGAGGCGGGGCCTCCAGTGAGGAGAGTGAGATGAGCGGCGCTGCTTCTTATTCTCTGCCCGGCGCCAGGAGAGACACGCACATGGTAACAAATTATCCCCTGTGCAGAAAAAAAAAACAAAGACACGCGCACACAGCAGACGAGTAGACGCCTCTGCCGTGCCGCGTGCGTGCCTGCGTGTGGTGTGCGCGTGTGTGTGACAGCAAGAGAGTGAGGGATCCGGTGAGAGCAAGCAGCGGGAGAGACTCAGCGACTGTTTAACGGAGCGCTGTCACACGGTAGTTTCTTCGGAATCCCTCCAGTGAACAGGGGCCTGCGTGACGGAGACCTTGCCTCTGATTGGCTCCGAGCAAGAGACATGCCCGGAATATGTAATCCGGCGGCAGTAAACCAGGATGACCCTTTCATCTCACATTAGCATCTCCCCACCCCCACTTCCCTGTTCCTGGGGGCACAAATGACAATCAAGGACATCAAACAGCCAATGTCCCCTATGGGATGTGGGCGAGCAGGGGTGAGGAACAGGACTAAGTGTGTGTGTGCATGTGTGTGCAAGAGAAACGAGGTTGTGCACACACACACACACACACACACACACACACACACAGGCAGGCAGGCAAAAATGGAGGTCTCGCCAGAGAGCACCAGAGCGTGTCACGGCACAGACGTGATTTCCCCCGAGAAGGCGCCAGCAGCACAGGGGTGCACACACGCACATGCACACACACACACACACACAGTCACACAAATCCAAGTGAATAATCAAGCCATTAGGAAATAATCTGGTTGGTCTAATTTTCATTATGTCAGTTTCAAACAGCCTGCCGTTTTAATGGCAGCATCATCCTAGTCACTGTCTTAGTCAACGGCTGTTTAGGTTTAAATATTTCCTTTCTGCTGTTCACTGTCAATTTCTCGAACCTCATCATTTAATCACCAATAAAATATTGTCCAATATGCCAAAAAATGAATATGTTTAAAACATTTGATGTTATAAATGTCATAAACAATAAACAATTATTCCTTTTCATTTGGTTATACTATGGCAATAGGGACTGAAGTATGAAGGACAATGGCATACCAAGTCTAGCACACAGTAATGTTCATTTTCTGTATCACAATCTACACCATCATTCAGAACAGCAGGGGCAGAGTGAAGAGTCCACCTGTCCACTAGAGGTCAGCACCTCTCACCCAGAATACTTTCCACTGTACCCACGTCCCAGTTTTGGTAGTGGACGTTAATCCCAAACCCATTTTCCCATTTTTGAGGTCTCTGCTTTTCCCAAAAGTTGTATGCTAGTCCAGTCAGTGCTCCAGTGTTGAATTCTGTTTATCCCTGTGGTAGTGCCCATCTGGTCTACACAGCTGCCTGATATCTGACTATTCTCATGGATTGTGCCCTGCACCTTTTGTGACTCTTCATCCAGTTCACTTTCTGCTTATAAATTGTCCTTCAGTCAGGCCCTTGCTGTAACAAAACTATTGAATCTTAACAAAGGGTATCTCATCAATATCAAATGCAGAAGTAAGCACCCAGGGGTCAGTTCTGGACACCTTGTCAATAATACATTACCACCGGTATGCTTGTGTTCAGATCAAACAGCCTCAGTTTAAGAAATCACACTATACAGTAAAAGACACTTTTCCGCTTTTATGGTGACTCATGCTAAACCAAACAGCTCTAACCTGAAGTGACGTTTCAAGGTTTACAAAAAGTTATGAAACATTTAACTTATATTTAAGCACTGTGTTTATCCTGGCCATGTTTACAAATCAAAATAGAATTTAATTACAGCTCAGACTGTAAAAAGCTCAGATTCTACAGCCAGACCCTGTGACAGTTTTGCTAGAAAATAAAATTACATTTGAAATAAATTTGTTCAGATTTGGACTGGACTTACTAACTTAATAACTAACATTCAGACGCTGGCCACTCATGAAACACCCAAATCACCGGTCCAGGCCACTGTGGCAGTGCAAGTTCAGCCATGTTGACTCAATGAGAAGAGGCTTCCCAGCTTCCTCTTCTTCCTTTCATTGTGGCAATATAATATTTAGGGCAAGATTTTTCTGATGCTATATTAACCAAAAGCATCAAAGGTCCAATCTTGACTTCATTCTTTTATTCATGTTCTCCAACAATTCTTTTGTTACATTTAAACAGTGCTTTTCAATAAAGGTCATCGGGTTTCTAACGTTTCAGGAGAAAAGCAACATCGAAAGAATCCTAGAGTGGGCGGTATTCTGATGGTGCTTTTAGGTGGCTGCCCAGTGAAAATGTGATTTGTGCAACAGGCTGACGTGAAGCGCTCTAATACCTGCTCCCCTAGGCCACCTTCTGACACCCCAGCCTGACAGCAAGGTTGACAAGTAACACTGGGAAAAAATATATAAAAATCTGTGTGCCCTTCTTCCTGCCTTTATGTGAGGTTTAGACTCTGAAGTGTAAGCAATGTAGTGCTGAAACTTTTTTACAAAATGTCACATACAAAGACCTACAGACTGACTATCAGGTAGAGCTTCTTTGAAGGACTGACATCCTTAGCCAGCTGGCCTTGCGCTCTAGATCTGGTCATTAAAAAGGATGAAGTTATAAGCTGCTATTACATCCATCCCTACATTTATCCATTTATTTATTCAGTACAGGCTCATACAGATCCTGGAGCCTTTCCCAGGAATTGCAGGACACAGGGCAGGAGGACACTCGTGATGGGACTTCAATCCGTCTAAGCAAACACACACACACACACACACACACACACACACACACACACAATCAAACACTATAGGCAGTTTCACAATATACCAGCTAAACATAGCAGTTTACATTGACTTTTCATACATCGTCCTTCTTACATCATAGTGCTTGCTCTGGTAAGGAAAAGCAACACTCCCAAGTTTCAGGATGCAATATTGTCTTTCTATTTAAAGCGATACAGTTCACAGTTTGAGGACCTAGAAACCATCAGCTACCCAGCACATCCAAAAAAAAATGGTTCTACAGGAGTGGTGATTGACAAGTCTTTAAGCATGCCCCTTCCTGATGGAACAGTGGCAATTATCTCATTGTTACAGTATCTCGGAACTGGCAAATGAATTGGCTCAGATCTGCAGTATGAGTTTAAGAACTTTGCCCGGAACAAGCCCTGGGGTATTAGGTTTCCTTTAAAGAAAGGCTTCTGTGGTTTGGTTTGAAGTAGAACTTTAGTTCAAGAAAGAAGTACAGTGGTACCTCAGAACTCGAATTTAATCCGTTCAGAACTCCAGATCGAATCCTAAAAAGTTTCCCCATAAGAAATAATGGAAAACCAATTAATTGTTTCCCGGCCCCAAAAAATTATACCTAAATATGTTTTTTTTAGCATTTTAACACAAAATGAAGCGGATAAAACAAGAAGAGCAGATACTGTACTAAACACATCTAAGCACATTTATCAGTAATTTGTAAAGTAAGGAAATAAATGTATCCAAACAATGTGTCCTGCCCTTATCTTCCGCTCCTTCTGTGTGCCACGCCCCCTCGTTAACCTTGTGTGGAATCCCTGTGTAATCAGCTGTTTCTGGTTGTTGTCATTAGTCCTCTGTATTTCGTACGCGTTTCAGTTTGTTTCCCCAGTCCGGTCATTGTATTGTCCGTGTGCAGTTTGCCTGCCTTACCTGTAATTAAACCCCATATTCCCCGATACCCTGATGTCTGCACCTTTGTCTCCGTTCCGTCCCCGCTCGGCACAACAATATTATTATAATTAAACATATTCATGGTTTATTATTAATATTAAAACAATGAATAAGAAATATTTATTTTTAAATGTATTTTATTATATAATAATTACTGTATCATTGTCTAAATGTATTTTTACTGTCTAAATATTTGTACTCAGTTTGTGTAAACATGCACGGTGCTATCACAGCTAATGCCAGGCTGAGACTGAAGCTTTACCTTTTGTTTCCACTGAGAGACGTGCCGTGTGACTCATTTCCCTGCGGGTACAAGTTATCTTAGGTCGGCGTTCACGGTTTGACTTCTGAGATTCAGATAGAGCTCTAGGTAATTTTTTTCAAACTGGTTGGTTCGACTTTTAAGAAATTAGAGTTCTAATGAGTTCGAGAACTGAGGTACCACTGTATTTTAACATGGAGTAGAAGGAGCCAAGTTCAGCCTTCTTATTAACAACTGGCCAGGCCAATACAATATTACTTATAACTGGCCAAGTACAGCTGGCTTCTTTTTAGTAACTGTTTCAAGCTTAACAGAAACAAGGTCCAGTCACAGTCAATAAGATTTACAGCATTCAAGTCATGTGACCACAATAATATGAGATGGTCCTGAGCAATAAAACCAGCCTCCATGATCACATTACAGAAAAATGAAATAAATCACAAACTAGGGAAGGCAGAAATGAAGTCCTACAGCCATCTGTGCTTGGAGATTATTATTTGGCTGGAGAGTTAATGGAAACACTTTGCCAGGACTCGATCAACAAAGGAAACATCTGAAGCATTTATCTATCATGAATGTCGCAATGTTTGCTTCTTTTTGGCATTACCTAGAAATGATTTTTAAAATTTATCTGGGAATGAAACCAGGTGGGGGCAGCATGGTGAGTCAATGGGTAAGACTACAGTTTCCCAGGAATTCCAACCCTGGCCCAGTTTTTATGGGCTTTGTATTGGATGACTGGATGAAAACAGATTTAAAATCTGCCACTTGAAAATTTCATGGTGATATAACAACTGATTTCAGTTCTTTGAAACTCATATGGCACAGATACCAAAGCTCTGCCACAGAAATGTTATACTTTAAAGAACTGTTATTACAGTTGTTTAGAAGCCTTGAGCAATTTAAATGTTTCTCTTTCAATAACTGCCTTATAGTTTCAAAAACTTTTTTTTTTTTTTTTAGAATTTTAGAGAGAAAAAAATAGCAACGATTTAAACGTCTCTAACTGACGTGCTAAGCACTTAAGCTTGTGGGAAAGGACGCCTCAGGACCAAATGTGGATTCAATAATTGAACCTTGTCAACATGCTTTGAGAGTAAATAAAAAGAAAACCTACGAATTAAATACAGAACGCAGAACAAAACCGTCCAATGCAAACCCCTGTTCACCTCAATGAGAATGGAATAGTTGTCTTATATATTAGGGCTGCCACTGACGACTATTTTTCTATTTATTAATCTATCGAATATTTTACCAATTGGTCGATTAATTTTCTTCCAGAAAATCGAACAGACCGCGTTTAAGTTATTTTTTTGACAACTACAAACTGTACGTGTTAATGCAGTGCTTTACATAACGGACGCCGGCTTTTCGGCATTATACGGATATAATTCGATAAGCAAATTAGTAATATGTCTAAAATAGTAATGAGATGCGTATTGTGATGCCCAGAAGTTAGTAATCTGGTTAAATTCGGCGTATCCTTATGCTTATTAAACTCGGTTAGCGGAGCGGCCCATGCTATTGTTTTTGTATATCATGGAAGTGATAAGCACTGATTTGGCGGTGAACCTAGACATAGGAACTACAATGTCTTTTAAAAGATGAGATATTGTTAATAAATATAAGGTTTAAAAAATGGTGATGTGGCGCTACTTTTTGCTGACTAAAATTCAACACGTTTATTTTTTTACATAAATATAGAATTTTTATTTTAGTTCATGAATTATTTTCTATTACTCAGTGTTCATTTTCGTTCCAGTTTTACTTTACGATAATGACACTGGTCCAAATTCCAAGGAAGCCCAATGGCACACTAGCACCGTCAAACCACGTAGAATAAGACCAGGGGGTATTCCATGAAGCTGGGGGGTATTCCATGAAGCAGGCTTAAGGGAAAGTCTGACTTATTTCGACAAGACAGTCTTACTTAAGTGAGAGTTCCGTTCCATCAACGTGTCTTAAATTAATCCTCGCTGAATTACCATGGTAATTTATACCTGCGAACAAGCCTGGTCCGGACCAGGCTAACTGTCTCGCTTAGTTTAGCGTTGTCTCAAAGAACTTCCGACGTGTGGGAACAGATTCCCAAAAGATCGTTCCGTCGGACGACATTCCGCGATTTTACTATTCATGTCATGTAGGCTAATCTGTTGAATTATATGTCATCTGACATTATATTTTACATTATCTGATTTATTTTTTTGTTAATTTGTAAGGTGTACCAAAATGACATGATTTTGTTTGAGTTAGCGGGATAATGAGTCTTGTTTATACGTATATTAAAAAATGGAAGCTTGTAGTCAGTGCTGTGAGTAAAAGCAAGACGAGAAAGCAGAGAATAAAAACCATCTTTTCTGAAGTAAAGCTCTGCGTGATACTTTCATAATATGGAGAACAGAGCTGAGATTGCTACATAATCAATATAATAAAGCCTATAAAATCACGTCTTAGCATTCCAAAACCTACGAATTCCAAAATCTACGAACCTACGGACAAACAATTTCGTCTCCACGGCCGCTTTTAGATGTGGTTCTGTTCGGCTATAACGGACATGCAGCGCAGATATCCAGCGCAGATACGTACAGTACGTAGTCGGGATTATTAATAGTCACGTATCTAGTTAGGTAAAGTTGGATTACTACATGTACAATATAATAATCTATACCACAAGTGTATCTGCTTGGGTGTGGCATGAGTAAATGGTGTCGTGTAGTTGTGTTCTGGGCATACAGCAACTCTGGATATAACGGACTGTTTTGCCAGGTCCCTTGAAGTCCGTTATAACGGTATTTTACTGTAAAATAAAAGCGTACGCTTTTACAAAGGTCAAACATGAAATGCAATGACTGAAATTGAAAGAAAATCTGTTAAAATAATATGAACAGGAAGATATTTTTATATTTTGTTTAGTCACTGACTCACAGTCTACTTTCAAATTTTATAAGTGAAAAGCAAAGACAAGATACGGTTATTTGTGCAGAACATTAGTGACTGAAAGTATTTTACGGAGATCAAATAATATTATACAATAACAATGACACGTGAACTCAACCCAGCTGGTTCCCAGTTGGCTATGGGAATCAAACCAGCAACTTTCGCGTTATAAGGCGACAGCATAAACCACTGTACCACCGTGCCAAGCACTTGCAACATTTACGTAACTTGTGCATTTAATCTGTCTGCAATGCATTGCCAAGCCAACTCTCTGGCTGTGTTTATGGCCACAATATTGCCTTTTTTAACGATTACATCTTTGTGTTTTTCATACAGTTCCATCAGCAGCGTTTGTTCTGCGGCGGAAAGAAACACCGATCTCGTTTTAAACACTTTCCGACTCATTTGGTCGATCTATCGTTCATCCATTCATTTGGGCTTCTTAAATATGTGTGCGCACTAAGTGAGACTATGCAAGTCTGTTTTGAATGAGCCTTGTTAAGTTAAAGCTGAACTGCGTTCGTGGAACGACATGAGGCTAAGTTTAGAGACGGAGCTAAGTCTGACTTTTTCGGGAAAGTCTGCCCTTCTTTAGCTACTTTCATGGAATATCCCCCAGATGTCAGGGAATAGCAGCCAAGGTGCTGTAGACAAATGTGCTGAACTTCCATCGAGTAACCAACAGCACCCACATGACACCTCCGCTGATGGCCGAAACGAGCTGGCACGCTCTTCGAGGCGAACACCCCCCCCCCAACTCGTGAAATAGAACAGCCCAGCGAGGTCGGCAGCCAGACGAGGTCCAGACTAACTTGGTAGGGTGTGGCATAAAAAGGGGGAGCCTGACACGCTGGGGAAAAGCGTGGTGCCCCCAGGGGGACAGACGCAGCTTGCTGTCAGGATCACCAATCACATTTTTCCTGGTTAAATGTCAAGTGTAACTAATTTGATGTTTTCCCCCCTTGGAGCTTCCCTCCCTCTTTCTCTCTCCTGCAAACCCACATTAGTATGACTCACTCCGTGTTTTCACTGTGCATCCCGCACCGACTTCCAGCTGAGGCAAAGATATCCACAGACTACAAATGGGCTCCTTAATTGATTCCCCCTTCCTTCATCCCATATACTAAAAGTAATTTAAGACCTCAGAACACGTATTAATCCAACACAATCCCACTGTCTTTACTATTTTAAGTCTCATTAATATAAGAAAATCATCTGTTTCTAGACGAATTCAGCAGGAAAGTACATATGGAATGATTTCAATAATAAATTACGTTGTGATTTACGTTGTCATATAACTACCCTTGCCTTTGGTCAGAGATGAGGTCTTAATTGCTGTCAGTGATTATCTGATTCCGTGCTGCTTGATCTGGCTACCTCCAGTCTCCGTTTACTAATAGCTAGGTGTTTATGACAAGCAAAGAACGATTTTTCGTTGTCATTAATTAGTAAAAGGACACAGCCAACATGATAAAAAAAGACTTAGACTTTCCCACCTTGCCTGTGTTGTTGCTGTCGCCACTTGCGTGCATCCTGCCATCGTCGGGGTGGGCGGCTACGGTGTCACTTCACTGAAATAAATCTAGCCGATCCCCAGGCAGGTAGCCTTTCCATTAAATAAGTAACTTTCGTTTTCGGGATTTTTTTCAGCTATTTGCTAAACAAAATTATTCAAGATGATTAACTGAAGAAGATCTTAATTGCCTGATAACTCAAGGCAGATAACATATTATAATTAAATGGTACGTTTTGCGCAGGGTGCCCAGCTGTTTAAAGCGCTGGACGCCTGGAAGGAGCGACGACTTAAGCCGTCGGTTTTTTATAACGACCACCAGTTAACATGGTGGCACTAAAATATAACGTGATTAGCTCCTAAATAACCAGCTTCATCTGTCCTGAAGAGAGATTCACGCTGTCCTCCTCGGTGTTCGGTGTTAAATATGGGCATATTTGGGGTTTACAAAGTCGCCTAGATGATAGTACTTTCCCTATGTCATTTAGGAAGGATGTGCTTTGTAGTAAAAATAACTGCACTTTACTTCCCACGCACGCCTGAAAATTAAATTGTTAATATTATAGCGTTTTCTTCAAAGACTTAATAATAGCGGGTGTTGGCCACAGCCACACCTTACAAAACCGAACGCACCGTCCTAACTCAAACTGAACAGACCACCGCGAGACAGCGAAAGCCCGCCTAAATAACCTTCTCGCACCAGCCTTCATGTTCAGGGTCAAAGTCAACCGTGGAAGTGTGTCGCGCATGCGCCAGCATAGCTAAGAACAAAAGCAATTAAAACGAACTAAAAATAGCAAAACGCAAGACAAATACAAAACAAACGTATGTGTCCAGTACCTATGAGAGACTTTGCTAGTGTCAATACAGACAATTAAAGGTAATCAGCCATTTTATGAAAATTCATTGAAATACATGAGATGGGTCTTAATTTTCTATACTGGGTAAGAATGCAAGTTTTGCTGATGGTCTAAAGTCCCATAGTTTAATAGTTTTATACAGTTGAGTCAGATCGGCAGTGCATGCCTGACTCAGATCTTTAGTTGACTCAGATCCTGTAGTGACAGGTCTTATATTTCCCCAATCATCAATCATTCCATCCATCATTCTGCCCCCTAAGGAGACCCCCAAGCACAGCAACAAGAACATTTTACATCAAGAAGAAGCTATTTACAATAAAAGCAGGCCCTATAGCACCTTTCAGAGATATGGGTGCTACAATATGTTACTACACCTTGATCAAATCAATAACTCAATTTTTTTTTTACTTGTGAGTGTGTCTGTCTACCCAATTGCTTATCCAGTAATAGGGGGGATACTCTAGAGAGAGCAGCCAGTTGTGTATATATCATGTTATTAGATAAATACATGTGTTTTCATATAGGCCTACTTAGGAAGATCAAAGCAATAGTATGCTTAAGCACAGCCAATAACAGAGTGTTTGCAGCAGCAGAATAAATAACATGTTTTGCTTTTCTATATAATTGACTCATTAGGAAGGAACTTGACAGGTTTATTCGAATGAAACAAGCTTGCAGGAAATTGTTTGACGTGGAACACAATATAAATGGCAAGCGTGGGATGAAACTTGACAGTGTGAGTTCCTCAGGCACCTCAGCCCTAACCTTGCACGTCAGACAAACCACAAACCCGCATCTCACCCAGATTAATCCCACAGAAACACAGCACAGCACCTGGCCTTTGCAGGCTACAGAATTGACACTTTCATTTTCAATAGCTTATCCAATCTATGAAGGCACTACTGCTGACAACAGGTCATGTGATCAACTCACAGTCAGTTATCTTGGCACGGCCATACCTTTTAATTTCTTCTGTTCATTACTCTTCTGATTTTATCCAGATAAATAACAATGGTGGTTGATCATTCATCTGATGAAAGATTTGTAAATCTCAAAAGAGATTATCATCCAAATACATCAACAACTGACTGTCTCTGCATCGTAGATACCATGACCATACTGTACATGTATGCTGCAATACTTTCACCCTTTTTGTACTCTACTGGTTAGTAGATTATAACTGTTGTCAATCTGTACTGTTGATGTTCATATTACGATATGATGAATGATCTCATCCTGATTTTCTTGTATTATTGAACTCAGTATTGTTACGACCTGTGCGAGCAGGCAATCGGACAAACAGGCGATCCAGCCCGGAATGAAGGTAAACGGGGATTTATTGTAGGAACAGAAAGCACACGGAACAAATGTCAATGACAGATCTGGGGAATACTGACTCAGACGCAGACTAAATACACAGGACATGCTGAACATAACAGGTAACAGGTGAATACGATCGGGAATTAACACGAGGTAATGAGGTGGGCGTGGCACACAGGAGAATCGGACGAGCCGGGCGTGACAAGTATCCACTTTTAATGTAGCAGATTCATTTCTCCAAATTAATATATATGTTCATTTAATGTGCAGTCAGTGCTTTGAACCAGAAGCATTGTTTGGGCGCTTTTAGGGAGGCTTTATCCCCTCCTACAATTTTTTTAAGTCCCCCCCCCCCCCCCCAAATAAATGTACACTAATTAGTTTAAATAGCATGTCCTCATTCATTTTCATTTAAAATCCAGTTTAAGTAAAGGCTTACCTCTGTTTTCATAAATCTCTAGTGACCCTTCCTCTTCAATCAAAAGTCAACACAGATACTTCTAATGAAGAAAACAATCTGAAACAGAGCTTCATAAATTAGTTCACCCTAGTACCCTATGGTCCCCTATACAGGACATGTAGTGTGCTCGCTTAGGTGATGACCTCAGACCTTGGAGAACATCAGTTCGTGAAGCCACTATCACCCCGTGCATCCCATTTGATGTGCCCCTTCTCTTTATTAAAGAGCAAATGGCATAAGTGATGCGATCATAATGCCGGCGTGATTCTGAAGGACTTTGAGGGCTTGTAATAATGAAGAAGCCATTTGATTTCTCAGTTGCAAAACACACTCGTTCCTTTCATTTCTGCCACTCATACAACTTTAATGAGGGGCTTTTGGCAGAGAGCGGTGCAGCAGTGTATATTACATTCTATAAATTAGATTAGCTAGGGCTTAAGTGCCTCTGCAACCTCTCCAGAGCCATGTAAACAGTCTGATGTCCTCTGTGTGCAGCTCTGCATGGTGGTAATTAGGTGCGCCTCAAACGATGGAAACGTTCTTTACAATACTGCCCGGTCAACGTCCAGCCAAAGCTACAGCTGTGTGTCACGGCACCCCCGTGAGGATACAGCCTCCTTGCTAACTGGTCGTCAAATGTAAAAAAAAAAAAAACTCTTCTGGTTTGATTACTGGCAGGGATTCTAACTTCTGGACAACAGACATATACCCAGACAGATGTAAGAAAGTATACATGTTTTAGACAAAGGAATAAAGACATGCCTTGAATATTCTGGAATGATCTTTGATTTTGTTGCTCTTTTATACCAGGGTAATGTTGCAGTTCTTAAATCCTCACTTGGTCAGCCTTTGTCTCTGATCCTATTGGCCAGGACCCATGCAGCTGCTCTGTCTTTAGAGGTTTACATTACCTGTCCATCAACTCTTTTCCAATGGCCTCTGTTAAGAGTAAATTGAGTCCCATAAGCTCACTGCTGCCTTGTTTCCTTGGTTTGAAGTCCATCCATTGGTTTCCAAAGGCTGCTTTTATATTGTTCAGTCCCACTGCCGAACTAGGAGTAACTGGTATTAAGGTGATGATACACAGGGCAATTTTTTGAACAATGTTGTTAGCCAGTTCCCAACGAGGTGAGACAAAGCGCGACTCATCTCGATCCGGATGATGAGAAACATTTCCCCACTGCCGATCAAAGTTTTTCAAATAGAAATTTGTTGCCCAACATCATTGGGGAAGTGTCTGGGCAACATTGGTCAGCAACATTAGTCAGCAACATTGCCCGGTAACATTGCCCGGTAACATTGCCCAGCAACATTGCTCAAAAAGTTGCCCTGTGTATCATCACCCTTAGACCATTTCTCGAGGTGCTATGCCTGATTCTCTTCAGCTGCCTAAAGGGGGAAAAGCTATAAAACTGTGTAAAAGCATCAAGCACAAGCAGACAGGTACGGGTCATTCCATCTTTACTATCTATTGTCCATCCATCCATCATTTCATCCAAATTCAGGATGAGAGAGCAGGGGCAGCTGCTATCCCTGGAGAAATGGCGGCTAAGGGCCTTGTTCAAGGGCACAACAGTGGCATCACTCTGCCAGCCAAAGAATTTGCACAGGCAACCTTCTGATTACATTATATTTTGAGCCCTAACCAACAAAGGCACATACCTTTGTACTTACTTATACAGGTCAGTGTTACAGAGTGGCCTGGAGTCTGTTCCAGGGACAGATACACTTGCACAAGCAGTTATTCACTGCAGTCAATGTAAAACAGAACAATTGTCAAGTCAAATAGCAGAGTAGTGTGGGGTTTTCATAAAGGTGGAGTATAGGAGCAGCACACAGACGCTGTGTATAACAGTGTGCACACCACCCTTAATCTAACAATCCAGGTCACAATCCCTTACTGTGTGTCATCTCCTTTACGAAACTGCCCTTCTGTTTCAGCTCTAAAACGCCACTTTCAGCTCTCTGTTGAGGCAGGCCCTCCGTGTTCCTTCCTGGAGATGCAGCAGCGCTGGGACAGCCCCAGGTTACCGGTGGACCAGGATGCCATCCAGGCCGGGGTCGAGCCAGGTTCCCGGAGTCACCCGTGTGGATGATTTAGGTCACTGCGTGAATGGAAGCCGCAGGGCAGTCACATGCGCCCGAAGACCTGCCGCATCCTGATTGGTCGGGAGCGATCCCTCCTGCAGTGCTCAGATCCGATGCTCATGTCATTGGTGTGACTTGTTCATGGGTGAGTGAGGCAGGAATAGCTAGGAAAGCAAAGCTGTGGAGAATTTTAATCTTCCACGTTACGACACCTGCACTTGGAGTGTGTACATTTTACTCATGCAAGCTGTCTCATTTTGCCGAAGAACACAAGATAGCTACTTATATGGCATAATGGATTAAGGATAATATCCAGGGATGCAGGACTGGTTAAGAGTAGAATCTGTGAAAGGAAGTGTCTTTATGAAATACAATGTTGGTTAATCAACCCTGGGTATAAGGATAGATTTTTATTTTCATTATAATTGCCTAGTAAACAGAACATGTTCCTGGATACAACATTCATTTCCCCAGCTTTCTACCTATCTAAACTTACCTGGGCTGCGTTACCATGGGAACAGCAGCCGTTCAGTGCTTGGGTATCAATAGAGAAAGTATCATTTTGACATGGTGCATCGTACTTTGTTCATGGGCAGCACCCACATCTTTTCTATGAAGCCCTAATTCCTATGAGGTGCCCTTTCTCAGCCTCATTGAGCAAAGGTCTCAAATTGCCATCCGCTTCATCTTGACCTTTTTTATTGTCAAGTGAAGAATCTAATACCAGATCTTGGAACTACAAAGCCAGGCTTTAACACGCAGATGTTTCTTTTTAAAACCAGGCGCTTTTGAGCTTCAAAACATTGACAATTCAGCCCTAACAGTGTTAGTCACACCTGATTTGCCCCTGAAGTGTAGAAGGTGAGGGGATCCAGGAGCAATTACTGTAACACCCGTTGAGTGGCAGTGTGAGATTTTCCTTGACCATTCTAATGATAATTTTCT